TTCTACTGTCGCCCAAAATTAGGCTTTCCGACATCAGCATGCTTAGATAAATTTAAATATACATATAATGGTATACTAAGCACATACACATTTTAAAGAAAAATCATCAGTAGTATAATGCGATTCAAATAAGAATAGGAAAGCCAATGACCTCCATCTGCCAAACGACGCTTGAAAAGTACGGTTTGCAAAAAATCTTGGAACTCTTTTTTAGCACTCAGCTAATTCTAGAATAAAAAGACCAAACATTTGTAAACAAACATGACGACGATGACAACTCCGGTAGTTATGCAGAGCTGAGCGGAATTGAAGAGCTAGATTCCGATTAATATTTTTACTCACACAGTCATAAATGTTATTAAAAATCGGTGTTTTTTTTTTCTCAATCTTAGTAAATAAATTTTATTAATAAAATCTGATGTTTCTTCTCACTTACTCTTAGTAAATAAGTTTTATCGAAGAAAAACTTTTATTGCTCACTCTACCTATTTTGTTTCAATTGACAGCTTTGACATCACAAAATGGCGCCCAGTCGAACCTATTCTTAGTTGAATCGCATTATACACTCATCAGTATGATTTGCTCCATTTCAAGTCATAATCCACATCAAAGTCATAGGGGCCCCATTATCCTAATATGCCCAGGGCCTCTAACAGGTTAAAGACGGCCCTGCCGAGAGGTGTAACTAAACTAAGTGGAAAGATAACAATCCCATATTTCACACAAACAGAAAGAGCATCGACTCTACTAGAGTTCGTTATAGGTGTTAGCAAAAATTATTTCCTCAATTAGTGAGGAGCCACCCAATACTGTAATTACCAGCGCGCTTCGCGTCTCCGCAAACAAAACGCCATTATTCCGTCTCTCGACTCACTTCCATCTTTACACCTGAGAACCTTATGGTGGTCGCAAACATAATCTTTATTTGCTCGCCAATTTAGACCAGCCTGTTCTTTAACACCGGCAAACTTTAACAGTACACGCTAGAACAAGAATGTGCACCTTACATGTTCCAAACAAGGCACTCTAGAGCCACAGCATCCGTTGTGCAGATCACAAAACGCTCTTATATTTAATTGCGGTATGCAGGGATGCTTTGCTTGTGTACACGAGAATGTGTTAATTTTCAACGTTTAGAATGCACCTTTTAATATTCAAGCGGACTTATATGGCAAGCGAAATTTTAACTTGAAAGCGCGGAACTTGGATATTTCATTACAAACCATGTTCAGTTCAGATAAGTTGTGTTGCAAGAATTATACGTATGTTTAAATTTTGATATTTTAGAAATCGATGCAAATCGGAGTTGGTGTGAAATGTTGCTTGCTTTAATTGGTCAGGCATTATTTATTACAAATGAATTTATTTAGCGCTACTGTTTATAAATCGTTACTTTATGCATTTTGCGAAATTATAAACAGCAATATGCTGTATATACAGGCTCAATGTTGAGTCTGAACAGTGTAACCATTATATAGTCCTGGGTTTATGAAAGGAGAAGATGCAGCTTCTTAAAAGCTAAGTAATAAGTACTTAGGAGCCATTTTTTCTTTCATTGGTATTGCTTTGGAATCGTATTTAGCTGTCCTGCAACTGATTTATATGAACATCGCCATTCTTAATCATAGGCGAGCGAAATCCGACACGATTTTTTTCCGGGCGTAGAGGGCTGGCAAAACACCCGACACTTCTTGTCGGAGCCGACACAAAATCGGTTTCCGATAAGTGTGAATAGCTTCATATATATATAATGCTCTGCCACTGGAACCTCCGATTACTTAATATACGGATCCGACACCCGACAAGTGGGTACGAGGTTTAAATTTAAAGAAAATATTCGCCCGGATAGCGAAGGGTGCGGGTTCGAGTCCCGTCTGCTGCCTGGTCCGCGCCGTTTTTTTCTAGTAATATTTTGTTTACATTTAAACATCGAGCAGTTACATGCTTAAAAAATAAAAATTATAACTATAATTGCTATTTCTTCCTTCAAATGTTTAATAATTGTAAAGGTGTTCATTTGACATTGTGGGTTACCTACAATGCAAAGAGATGGTGCTGCCTTGCAGCTTAAGAAAGGCTAGAAAGGATTCGACGCGGCCATCAGGCCGCGGTAGCATAATGGTCAGTGCATTCGCCAAGATAGCGAAGGGTGCGGGTTCGAGTTCCGTTTGCTGTCTGGATTTTTTCTAGTAATACCTACAATAGAACCCGTTTAATACGCTCACGCTTAATACGATTTCTCGCATAATACGCCATTTTGCGTCATTCCCTGCAACTTGAGTCATGTTTTCATACATTTCTTAACGCTTAATACGTTTCGTCATCCCTATTAATACGCCTAAATCGCTAACACATACCATAAATATTACCTCTTGATAACACACAAGAAGATGCCCTAAGTGATAATGATCATGAAGAAGATAAGTCAACTCCGATTTTGTCACACGCCCAGGCATTATCAGCAGTTAATGATTTAAGACGCTACCTACGTAACTTCTTTGAATCAAAGCGAAGACGCACTGCAAAAGCTAAATTATGTTGAAAATTTTGTAATTGGTAGTGCCTCAAATCTTTTTGTCAAACTAAATATGTGATTATTTTAAATAACGTATTAATAGTACACAACATTTTATATAACGTACATAATTCTTAAATATTGTACATTTAATACCTCAATACTTACATTCGACATAATAATAGAAGCAGACCCCTCTTTCCCAGTGGGCAGGGCCGGATTTAGGATTGTGGAGGCCCCGGGCCACTTAGGATTTGTATGCTTATTGACCCATCGAAATGTTGTTATTTCTTAAGCTGTTGTGGAGGCCCCTGGGCCACAGCCCCACCTACTCTGCCTTAAATTCGGCCCTGAGTAAAGGTAAAAGAGCAAAAAAATAATATCAAAGGAAAAGATGTTTACTAGTTGGAATTTGAAAGATTTTTTTCCGAAGTCTCTATTGTGGGGGCCCCCTGTTTGTGGAGGCCTCCCCTAAATCCGGCAGTGCCAGTGGGCACTTTGGGCAAATGCCCAGGGCCCCGCAATCGATAGGGGGCCCCCTCAGATCAAATACAAAGTCCCTAGTTCCTGTTAAATCACCAAACGGGGGTCATAGGGGCCCCATTATACTAATACGCCCAGGGCTTCCAATAGGTCAAAGACGGCACTGAATAGAATTTAATAAATATTAATATGTAGTACGTTTTTTCTTTTCCCCTATCCCGCATAATACGCTTTCCCGCGTTTTTGGTAGAATCCCTGTGAAATCGTCTTAAAAGGGTTTTACTGTATTTTCTTTTGATTTACACTTCATGATAGCGGCTCTAAGTTACATGCATCCTGTGAGTATTTTAGTACCTACCTAAAGCCATTTGAGGAATAGATCCCAGTGATGTGACAGCAAAGGCATATTGGGTTCCATTTTACACCCTTCTCTAGAAACCTCTCTGCTCACCCTAAAATTAAAGCGTTGAAAAATATCTTTGCATATTTCACAATGAATATTAGAAAAATCGGTAAAATTTTACTTCCAGGGCCCAAGAGGTGATACTATTTTTTTTGTAGAAAAGGTCTCTATTAGCGAATTTTTCTTTCTGGCGCTTGGCCGGCCGCTATCGCGGCACGCTTGCTTTGCTCGCTCGGCTCGCGCGTTATGGTCACAACACTAACCTAACCTAACCTACCTAGTGTGAACTGTGAAGTATCACCGCTTTGGCCCTGGAAGTATAGTTTAGTCGATGTTACGCCAATGTCATCAGCATAATAATCTCTCCACTGTTGAGGCACCGGCCTTCCCTACAGCTGAGATAGAGAAACCGGCCCTTGACACAGTAGCGGTCCTTTCATATAAGCCTAGAAGCCCAGCTTGCCTCTTATTCCACCTTCCCCTTTCCTTCAGAGTCCCACGCGCGCTGTCCTTCGTTGTCACCGTCTAACTGTGGCCACTATTCTAAGGCGTACAAGGAAGTTTGGTAACTCATTTCTTTGTCGCACTATCCGTAAATTGAATGCTCTCTCCCACTCACGTGTTCCCTCCTTCTTTTTTGCAGTAGAAAGCAGAGGCGTATTTACAAAAAAAAATCATTCGTGACTTCCTTGTGTTATTAATAAATAGAAGAAGAAAAATATCAAATAACTCTAAAAAACTTATTTATTAGTTTGTCACTTAAACAATAATTATTTAAACTATTCTTCGCCCAATAGACAATTAATTGTAAATTCAAATGTATTGTTACCTAACAGCATGTAGCTATTGTTTTCTTAAATAGCTAATAGTCTTAATTAACGCTGATTTAAATACTTAAGAACCTCACAAACGTATTTGTCAAGTAAACATAATGACAACAAATTTAATCCAATTAAAAACAGTTTTTTATGAGTCGCAACTCTATTAGCAAGAAAATAAAAACTAGTTAAGCTCAAACTTCACATGACCATTTGTATTTGCTATTAGTACAACAGCAAGGTTATCAAGCTCTATAGGGAATGAAAAACAAAACCGCTGTCAATCTTAACAAAACTAATAACAAAAAAGAAGTTGTGTTAAGTGCTAGCAACTGATTTGTTTATTTAATGGTGTCATAGAAGTTAAAAGATTAATAAATGTATCTGTTGATGTCGATCCTAATTAGCAAAAATATAACAACAAATTAAAAAATTGTTGCCTGGTCAGCATGGAATTTTTCTTTAGATTTAAACACTGCAGTTACATGCTTAAAACTAAAAAATTATAACTACAAAATTGTTGACTTTTACAGCAGACTTCGATAAGTTCACCTAAACTCCACATGGTAAGCGAATTTAATAGAGTAGGCAACGCATTAGTTTAATTCACAAGGTCATAAGATACATTTGTCACATCCCATCAGATTGGCCAGCATTTTGCCAGTTTTTACAATAAACAATACAAATATTCATGATTAGAATCAGTTTGTTGAATCTAAGTTCAGAAGTTAAACTTTAATAACACAATCTTCATTAATGTCTACAGGGCACAATAATCTCCTCATTTGGGTTTAGTTTCTTGGTCTGTTACATATCTTATATAAATGGTGTCCTCTGGCTTGGGTTCTTCAATTTGAGTCTCGTCTAGTTGGGAGCAAGCAATGGCCAGAGCCGTTCCATCATGAGAGAAGCTGAGCGATGACACGGCCGTATTGTATCTATGGAACTGACACAATCTCTTCTTGTTGAATCCATCCCATATGTTGACATAGCCATCCGATCCACCAGTTGCAAATGTATTGTATATGGAGTGGAAACTAATTGCATTAACAGGATAGATCTTTTCCAAACCTGCAAATATATGTGGCAAATGTATTACACACAAATTTAGAACAGTATAATTAACAAATATATGAATATTAGAAAACCCCATTGGTGGTTTGAACAAACTTCATAGTTTTTGTTACATATCTATGTTTTCTAATATTCAGTAGTATAAATAACAACTTAACCATGTCATTCTAGCCCCCTCCAGCATGAGCACCACTATATGATATCGCACCCCTGGTGCTACACTGTCACTTATGCAAAAAATATTTTTTTCAAGAGAAACGTTTAAAACTTTAACATCCCAAAACATACAATATATATTTTGTTTTTATTTTTTTTAGATTAATAGCTAAGCTGTATAAGCTTTTCATCACGTAAAAATCTTTAAATATTGTATGTTTTGGGATGTTAAAGTTTTAAATGCTAATCCTGAAAAATAAAAGTTTTTGCATAAGTGACAGTGTCGTACTGGAGGTGCGATATACAGTACGTTTTTATCATGCTCAATAGTCAAATTACTTTGGAGTTTGACAATTAGACCGATAAAAAACATGATATAATGCAAAGTGTGGTCCTCATGCTACAGGGACAGGTATATCTTTTATCTGAGTGGATAGAGCATTTCACAAAACCTTACTCAATTAGCAAGCTAACTTAGCATTTAAACTGTGGTAATATTTTCTGTTTCATTTTTTAAACAAAGAGAAAATTTTACAACTAACCTCCATCTTTGATACGATGACATTTAAATGCATATTTCTTCTTTTGAACTTCAGGGTTACTATCTAGGTATTCCACGGCCACACGACCCTCGATAGAGCTCAGTACATAACCCTGTTTGTTGGGGAATACACGGATGCAACGTGTCTGATACTTCAATGATGACTCTCTTCTTTGGTTTACGTGACCCATGTTTCGGACATCCCAAACAAAAATCTTGCGACCTGATGTGCCCACAACAAATTTCTCTCCAACTATGCTCATTGTGTATACCTGTAAGAAAGGAAAATTCCCTGTATAAGTGACAGAATAAATGTTTTCCGAAAATATAACAACAGTTAAAATAAATAAATAAATATTTGCAACACTCACACCAATTAGCCTAGTCCCAAAGTAAGCACTGTAAGGCTCGTGTTATGGGATACTAGGGTAACGGAAAGAATACATATACAGTATTTAAATAAGTATATTTATATAGAAATTAATATTCATCCGTGACTGGAGTACAAATGCTCGTATTCATCACACTAACATCTCCCCCACCGGGATTCGAACCCGGGACCTCTCGAGTCGGCGACACCATGAAACCTGGTGTACAGAGCCACTCGACCACAGAGGTCATCAAAAGTTGATTGATAAGTACCGAAATATTTGTCATGCAAAATGTTTATTTAGTAAATTACCCTTTCATTGCCTTGATTATAAGTGCCAACACAATTAGGAACCCTACTGTCCCACATCTTCACCGTCCCGTCCCAACTGCCAGTCAACACGGCATTAACTTCACTAGCAAACTCCACACATCTAATGGCTCCTTTATGCTCACCAAGCGCAGTTTCAGAGCCAGCATTGAGATCATACATTTTCAACGTTTGGTCCAGGCCCCCACTGTAGGAATGAACCGCATCCTGTAAGTTTCGTAATGAGAAATAAGTTGAATTCCTTTACTTAACCTGTCTTTAAAGCTATAGAAATACACTTTACACTTACCCTAAAGCATACGTCCAATACAGGTAGTTCATGGTTATATTTATGCCGTTCGCTATTGGAGAGAACATCATATAACCTTACTGAACAGTCCCAGGAAGAAACGAGAAGAAACTGGCTAGATTTCGGTGCAAATTTCACGCTGGATATAGCATCTTCAGGAAGACTTTTTAACTTAAATTCGGTGCGGGATTCCGCCACCCGCGTCACAGTCATTGTGGAAGCAATTTTGTTGGATTTTTTGAACGATTTCAAAAATATAAGTGTCCTATTTTGTTAGAATTCAAAGAAAATAACAAAATTATGTGACTGACGTACGTCGCGATCGTGACAGAACGCCAAAAATTAAAATTCTTTTTCGTTTCGTTAGCCAAAGAGGGCAAGCAAAGCAAAGGCTTTGGTAGTCTATGGTAGTCAAATTCAAAACATTTATTCTAAGACAACATAGATCCATGTGTGTGTTAGTAAAATACTAAATTGTTAGTAAATTACCGCTATAACCCTATCTATAAAAAATCTAATCAGTGGACAGTCCCCACGCTCAACTAAATCTCTCACGGCTCTGCTATTAAGGTAAAAACATGAATGTACAACTTTTACATACTCAGTGATGTCGATTCTGGCATGAGTCTCTAAAGCTAAACTTAAAGAACAATGCCCACTGCCCATACATTCGAAAACCTGTCACTTCGGTTTTTACTTTATGGATGTATATTGACTGTTGAGGTTGTTAACTAATTATTACAATCTTCTGAAATAATGTTGCTAATTTGGTTTGATTTGGCAATGAGGAATAGAAGTTATAACGAAAACTAATTCTGAGGTTATTCAACTGCTGAAGATGTCATTTACTTACTCTGTGGTTACGAGATTGATTATAGATTATCTAATGCCGGAACTTCACTTGGCTATTTGTAAACTTGACAACAGTCTGTCCTTATCATGTTTTAAGGAAAGAAAAGGACAGACTGAAATCAAGTTTACATGAATAGCCAAGTGAAGTGCCAGCATAAGATTATTCATTTGTGTGCTGTCACAGCTGTGGTGTCTTAGGGTGCGGCCAGAGTGCACTCAGATTCAGATTCAGATTCAGATTTCGAAAACAAGCGCGAGAAATAAACAGTGTAGTCGAAGGGTACGGCCAGATTGCACTCCTGATTCAGATTCAGATTCAGACTCAGAAAACAAAGCGCGAGAAAAAGCAGGCAACCTGCTTAGACTACACTGTTTATTTCTCGCGCTTGTTTTCAGAATCTGAATCTGAATCTGAATCTGAGTGCACTCTGGCCGCACCCTTAGCCCAGCTAGGTATTTATTTCAATTCGCTTGTTTTGTTTGATTGAAGCTTGATCTGAGGATTGAAAAAAAAAGGATTAATATCATAACATGTATCATGCTGAGGTGTCATCCTTATAATATTGTCTTTGGAATTAAACAAGTTTTTTATTATATTTAATCAATAATTCAGTTTCAATTATTTTATTGAAATAGTAGGTACTTAATGTCTTAGTTTCTACAAGCGAATGAATAAATGATAATCTTGACCTTTACCTAATTATATCTCGGTCATGTTTCACTAAGAAAATGGCCAGTCTTTGTTAAGAACGGAAAGAAACTTTAAATTAAAGCCTTGCCTTCTAAGTATTACATTACCATTTAAATACGGTATTTACCGCATGACTGGCAACATTGGAAAGGAGAGTGCGAATCTACATTTAAGCTGCGTTCATAATTATGTCATTTTACTTTGATACAATCATGGATACAATACTCTTCCCTAATGGATGCGTTCGTGTGATAGCAAAAAATGTACCTACATAATGGTTATATTCAAAAATTATTTTTGAAAAAAACTGGATTGTAGTTTTTGTTGATATTTTGATTTCGTAATAAGCGAATAATTACCTTTTTTTTGAGGTATGTCACATAATTATACATGCAAATTTTTTTTACAGATTTGACAGGTCACAAATGGGCATCCTTCTTTAACATCAGTCTCTCCTTTTCATTTTATATAAAGAATGACAAGGACACACTGTTAAATTTAGTTTAGATTTACAGAATCATGTTTGAATAATACAAATGGCGTGAATACGCGACGCGCCGAAAAATTCACTTATGTGATGATGACTCTCCACATCCATGGGTCACACAATTTTGAATGAAATGGACGTGGGAGTTGCTATTCGTGCACCATTTGTTGCTGAAAAAATAACCATACCGTAATTTTATTAAACGTTGCTTGCGGAGCTTCACGGTAGAAGTGTGGAGCCGGCATTAAAAGACTAATTATGAAAGATGTGAACGCATCTTTCATATTGACATGTTTGTGATGAGGTGTGAATCGTGAAATCCCCGTCTCGCAGAAATGATTTTCTCAAAAACCCATTGATTCTCCTGGATTTGTAATGTTACATTTGTGTCTCTACATGTTCAGTAAATATTTACGCAAACAATACAACAGTGCCTCTATATTAGCTATAAATGTCTACGAAACCACGCAAATAAGTCGATTCCGATTGGAACGAATGGAGTGATTATATTATTTAAATAATGATGCAAACTAATTTAAAAACTAAAGAAATGTTCATAGTCAGAGCATTAGAGAAGATCTTAGCCGATAAAGATATCAAAAGGTCACATCATAGTCAATTGAAAAAATCCTGTGAAGTGGCACTTGGTAAGTTACTTGCATGACATTCTGTGTAACGTAACATCGTAATTTAATACATCTTAATAAATATATATAACATGCCGCACGTATTTTGTTACCACTAATTAGGTTATAATATGTCGCAAGCACACAATTCTATAGATTTATATGCACTATCCAATAAAAAGTGATTGTAATGTAACCTTGAGAACGAAAGTAATAAGAGATAGTATTGTGAACAAGTTATGCCTTATCATAGCAATCATAATTCAGACCCTTACCCAATGAAACAATAGTAAAACACTTCTTAGTCATGACATCATGCATGAAGGTTTCTGTGATAAAACTTTATTGTTGAACTGTTAAGTTTACTAATATCAGAAAATCACTTTTATGAATGTTCTGAAAATATGGTGTAATTAACCATTAAAATGATTTACTCATTATGGTTGACTGATAAGATTTATGATAACTAGATGCTGCATTAACAGGTACAGAAATCTAAATGGAAATTTAATGTCTATAAAGCTAATACTAAGAAAGATTTTCAACACACAATTTTTTGACAGATCTGTAACATTTCATCTTCTTCAAATTTTGTATAAAAAAAGGTTGTTTGTTCTTACGCTGCCTAGTTTTTGTAGAAATTTGATGATGCTACATTTTAAGGAGCTGTCAAAACTTTGTGCTTGAGCCTCTGGACATATTGAAGACTTTAAAGAAGCCTTACATTGCTTCATTTAAGTATAAACACTGATGTGCATATATGATTTCTCACTATTCTGCCAGGGATAATGGTATGAAACTGAATATTTTATTATGAATGTATTTTTTTATTTTACAGAAGAAATAAAAGCTGAATTAAAAAATGGTGGACAGATAGAGACAGCTGAAAATCCAACATCGGGTACTCTTCCGCTGCCTAAAAATGATGCCTCCAACATTATCACAGCTGAAAAATATTTCCTACCATTTGAATTGGCATGTAAAAGTAAGGCAGCTAGGATAGTTGTTACAGCTTTAGACTGTTTGCAAAAACTTATTGCTTATGGTCACCTAACAGGAAACATTCCAGACTCAACGACCCCCAGAAAACTTTTGATAGATAGAATAGTCGAGACTATTTGTAGTTGTTTCACAGGCCCACAAACAGATGAAGGAGTCCAATTACAAATCATAAAAGCACTTCTCACTGTCATTACAAGTCAGCATGTTGAAGTTCACGAAGCAACAGTATTGCTTGCAGTCAGAACTTGTTACAACATCTATCTTGCAAGTAAAAATCTTATAAATCAGACAACAGCAAGAGCAACTCTTACTCAAATGCTTAATGTAATATTCACTAAAATGGAAAATCAAGCTTTAGAATCTGAAAATAATCCTAATGAAACTGTGCATAAGTTGCCCAATGGTAACATAGTTAGTGAAGAAACACATATAAACCAAGTGATGGAAAACAATAAAGATGAAGTAACTCCTGCACAGCAAGATAATATTGATAATGGAGATGAAATTAATGAAGCTAAGATGATAGCTAAAGAAATTGTGGATTCTGTAATAGACAATGCAATAGACATCGCTTCAAAGAAAAGTACTTCTGATCTTACTAATAATATTTCTGAAAATAGTGAAAACCCTTGTGATTCTCAAGACAGTGGTAGTGTGTCACAAGAAAGTAATGGACAAGCTACTAGTGAATCAGTAATGACAAGAATACCTTCACAAGAAAGTGTTGATGTTGCTTCTGAAAATGATAACTCGGTTACAGCTAAATTTACCCATATTCTTCAGAAAGATGCTTTCTTAGTTTTTAGAGCTCTCTGCAAGTTATCCATGAAACCTCTTCCTGAAGGGACCCCAGATCCTAAATCACATGAACTTCGGTCAAAAATACTTTCATTGCATTTACTTTTGTCTATCTTACAAAATGCTGGTCCAGTATTCAGAAACAATGAGATGTTCATAACAGCCATCAAACAATATCTCTGTGTAGCTTTATCCAAAAATGGTGTCAGTTCTGTACCTGAAGTCTTTGAACTTTCTTTAGCTATTTTTCTAGCCCTCTTGCAGAAGTTTAAAGTTCACCTGAAGAAGCAAATAGAAGTCTTTTTCAAAGAAATTTTTATGAACATCCTGGAGACATCCAGTTCGTCTTTTGAGCATAAATGGATGGTTATTCAAGCTTTGACTAGAATTTGTGGTGATGCCCAAAGTGTTGTGGACATTTATGTAAACTATGATTGTGATTTATCTGCTGCAAATCTTTTCCAAAGATTGGTTAATGATGTTTCAAAAATAGCACAGGGAAGACAAGCTCTTGAATTAGGTGCCACACCTAATCAAGAAAAATCAATGCGTATTCGAGGTCTTGAATGTTTAGTTTCCATTCTTAAATGTATGGTGGAATGGAGCAAGGAACTTTACATAAATCCAAACTTACAAACAACTTTAGGCGAAAGAACGACAAAAGAAGATAATGACCACCATAGTATGAAGTCTCATGGTGGGTCAAGCCTCAGTCTTATTTCAACAGGATCTAGTAACATAGGTAATAGGGAATCTTTGGACTCTCCTGAACAATTTGAAGTTCTAAAGCAACAAAAAGAAGTTTGGGAAACTGGAATAGAACTTTTCAACAGAAAACCTAAAAAAGGTGTTGCATTTTTACAAGAACAAAGTTTATTGGGCACTTCTACGAAAGAGATAGCAGAATGGTTGTTAACAGATGAAAGGCTAGATAAAACTTTTATTGGAGAATATTTAGGAGAAAATGATGATCATTCCAAGGAAGTTATGTATGCTTATATAGATGCAATGAATTTTTCTGATATGGATATTGTTGCTGCTCTGCGTTATTTCTTGGAAGGCTTCCGTTTACCTGGCGAAGCGCAAAAAATTGATAGATTAATGGAGAAGTTTGCAGCTAGATACTGTGAATGTAATCCAACCAATACACTATTTACAAGTGCTGATACAGTGTATGTTCTAGCATTTTCTATTATAATGCTAACAACAGATCTTCACTCTCCACAAGTCAAAAATAAAATGACAAAAGAACAATACATTAAGTTGAACAGTGGCATAAGTGACAACAGTGACCTGCCACGTGAATATTTATCTCAGATATATGACGAGATTGCTGGCCATGAGATCAAAATGAAAAACACCTCTAAACCTGGTAAACACATGATTGCAAATGAGAAGAAACGCAAACTTGTGTGGAATATGGAAATGGAGCAAATATCTACAGCAGCAAAAAATTTGATGGAATCTGTGTCACATGTGCAAACTCCCTTTACTACCGCGAAACACGTCGAACACGTACGACCAATGTTCAAAATGGCGTGGACGCCATTCCTTGCAGCATTTTCAGTGGGCTTACAAGATTGCGATGATCCTGAAATAGCATCATTGTGCTTGGATGGCATAAGATGTGCAATCAGAATTGCTTGCATATTCCACATGTCCCTTGAAAGAGATGCTTATGTTCAAGCTTTAGCTCGATTTACACTTCTTACGGCAAACTCGCCTATAACAGAAATGAAAGCTAAGAACATTGATACTATTAAAACTCTCATAACAGTAGCCCACACTGATGGCAATTATTTGGGTTCAAGTTGGCTCGATGTCGTCAAGTGTATCTCTCAATTAGAATTAGCACAGCTCATTGGGACTGGAGTTCGACCACAGTTTTTGTCTGGATCAGGAATCAAACCGCAACCAGATTCCATGAAATTCAGTCTTATGTCATTAGATCCAAGTGTAAAAGAGCACATTGGAGAAACAAGCTCCCAAAGTGTTGTTGTAGCAGTCGACAGAATATTTACCGGGTCTACGAGACTCGACGGTGATGCAATTGTGGACTTTGTTAAAGCACTGTGTCAAGTGTCTCTTGATGAGTTGAGCCATGCGTCGAATCCAAGAATATTTTCATTGCAAAAAATTGTAGAAATATCTTACTACAACATGGGGCGTATTAGGTTACAGTGGTCCCGAATATGGCAGGTTCTTGGTGATCATTTTAATAAAGTGGGTTGTAGTAGTAACGAAGACATCGCCTTTTTTGCTGTCGACTCTTTAAGGCAACTTTCAATGAAATTTATAGAAAAGGGTGAATTTGCAAACTTCAAGTTTCAAAAGGATTTCTTACGACCATTCGAACATATCATGAAAAAGAATAATTCTCCAACAATAAGAGATATGGTAGTGAGGTGCATTGCACAAATGGTAAATTCACAAGCTCCAAACATAAAGTCTGGCTGGAAAAACATATTTTCTGTGTTTCATTTAGCAGCCAGTGATCAAGACGAGGCAATAGTTGACTTAGCATTCCAAACGACTGGCAAAGTCATTACGGAACTATATGAAAAACAATTCCCTGCGATGATAGATTCTTTCCAAGACGCAGTAAAATGTTTGTCCGAATTCGCATGTAATGCAAAATTTCCGGATACGTCCATGGAAGCAATAAGGTTGGTGCGGTCGTGTGCCTCAGCGGTTGGTGCGTCGCCGCACCTGTTTGCCGAACACGCCGGGCTCGAGGGCGAGCCCGGGGCACCTGAAGAGGACAGGGTTTGGCTTCGGGGATGGTTTCCACTTCTCTTCTCACTGTCTTGTGTCGTAAGCCGTTGCAAATTAGACGTTCGCACCAGAGGTCTTACAGTTCTCTTTGAGATAATAAAAACTCACGGTGATTCATTCCGTCCGCATTGGTGGAGAGATTTATTCAACATACTGTTCAGAATTTTCGACAATATGAAATTGCCAGAACACCAATTGGAGAAAAATGAGTGGATGACTACCACTTGCAATCACGCGTTGTACGCAATCGTGGACGTTTTCACGCAATACTTTGACATTCTTGGCTCTCTTCTGCTGGAGCAGTTGTACGCGCAGCTACATTGGTGCGTGCAACAAGATAACGAACAACTAGCAAGATCCGGCACTAATTGTTTAGAAAATCTAGTCATTTCAAACGGAACAAAATTCAATGACGACACGTGGAGTAAAACTTGTCAAATTATGTTGGATATATTCAATAGTACTCTTCCTACGACGCTCCTTACGTGGAAACCTGATGAAAACGACGACGGAGAAACGACTCATGTACGTCACGGCATTCTCAAGAAACCCCAAGGAGGAGACGAAATAAAGTCTTCCAATCGTGTTTTCAACAGTCTGCTAATCAAATGCGTCGTCCAGTTAGAATTGATACAAACGATTGATAACATTGTTTTCTACCCGGCAACTTCACGCAAAGAAGATGCAGAAACATTAGCGCTAGCCGCTGCCGAACTGACTGGCGGCATTCCGGATACTGAACAAGAATGTCAACGTGAAGAACAAGGAATGTATCGGCTATTGAGCTCGCCGCATCTATTACGACTCGTTGAATGCCTGATGTGCAGTCATCGCTTTGCGAAAACCTTTAATACCAATAATGCACAAAGGAATGTCCTATGGAAAGCTAATTTTAAAGGTTCTGTAAAACCAAATATGCTGAAACAAGAGACGCAATCACTAGCGTGTGTCCTTCGAATACTGTTTAAAATGTACAGTGATGAAGCGCGGAGAGATCATTGGCTCGCTGTACAGAAGAGTCTAATCACTATCTGTTGCGAAGCATTGGAGTATTTTGCCGGAGTGACCAACGAGGCCCACAGAGATGCGTGGACGTCCATACTACTATTGATCCTCACGAGAATACTAAAGATGCCTGATGAAAGAGTGAGTATATCTTATTACTTAATTCTACTAATATTATTAATGTGAAAGTTTGTATGGTTCACTCACACAAAAGCGGCTGATTGGATCTAGATGAAATTTGGTAAACTGGTCGTTTATTACCTGGATTGAGACTTAGCCACTTTTATCTCTCAAGGAATTCTCAAAAACTAATAATTAGGTGCCTAAAGTCACGGGTGGAAGCTAATTATCAATAATTGTCAGCGACTTCAGTTCCATTAATTAAAATTCCTTTTACAATTACAAGATTATCTCTGAAGTGATAACCCACAATGACTGGCAATGGTGTCTAATCTAGCATGATTCTCTAAACCTAAACTTAAATTTGATAACAGTGCATCCTTGTCATTCTCTATACAGAGTGAAAAGGAGAGACTGATGTTAAATTTATTTATAAGTTTAGATAATCATGCTAGAATCGACACCGCCATTGTAAAATTATTCCAACTTCACGTATTAATGCCCTTTTTATGTAGCAAGCGTGCGTTACAGACTTTTAGCATACTGAGTCACTATAGTATAATGTACTCCTTGCACAATGTTGTAATGTACATGGAATAGTTTCAATGTATTTTCTACTTGTAACTGATTGTGGTATGATGATTTACTTTGATGTTTTGTTTTCAGTTTGCGGCGCACGTTTCCAGCTACTATCCGTTGCTGTGTGAAATCACCTGCTTCGACCTGAAGCCTGAGCTACGCTCAGTTCTCCGTCGGGTGTTCATTCGCATCGGGCCAGTTTTTAATATTGTTTCTAATACGCAATAGCTCGCTGTTATTTTTAAATACAAAATGGCCTTATAGTTTCGTAGGTTAAAGTATGACTTTTGATGTTAATGTTAAAATAAAAATACATTTCGTTGATTTCGTAAATTTTAATGTAATATTGACAGCAATCAGTACTTCAGTAGTATTAAAAGTGATCTATGTTATAAATATAGGGTGTATTAGTCATAGTATTTAATTTATATAACTTATTATTTTAATATCAACAATTAAAATTATATAATGTATAATAAAAAAAAGTCTAAAGTTTTATCTATAAATTGTAGTTTATTCTGTATATTTGAAAGATTTTTAATATTTGGAGAGCTGAATTCACTCGCTATCAGGCTTATTAACTTTGATTTCCAGCTAGACTGAACCGACTGTGATTGCATTTTCATTTCTGCAGCTTTTCCATTGTTGTTTCTTACTATATCATAAAGAGTGATTTCAGAACTCGCACACAACTTATGTAATCCATAATAAATTAAAATTATTCAAATTAATACTTTTGATTAGATAATCCTCAGTCCTTCAATGCTCTGCTCCAAAGATTCAAGATCCCAAATGACCAGCTGACCATCCAATCCGGAAGTGCTGAACTTAACAGCATTTGCTTTGGTTCCTTTATAAAGGCTTATAGTAGTTATGGCATTTTGATGAATAGAATCCAACAAGGTGTCATTGGTTTCAATACGAGCCTGTCTGTCCAGAGACTGGAACTTCTTCATGGCTGACAACCCACCAGACTCTTTCCTTTGAGTATTATCCAATTTGGCAACAAATTTAATCTCATTGTCTTCAAGGCTATACAGTAATGGAATGCAGCTATGTCCTGCCACAACAAGGGAATTGTTGGTGATCCAGTTACAACCCAAGAATGGCAGATATTCAGTCTTAAGTTTGATAACGGCCTTGCCTTGTGTAGCATCAGCAACGTTAATTGAACTATCGTGTCCTACCCAAGCAACTTTGTTTCCATCAGCTGAAAAGGAAACGCTGTGCACCCAACCACCACCTGATGGAGAGTTGGGGAACTCTGCCAATAATTGGCCCAGTGGTAGCTTTGATCCCCACACATTTGGACCAGGTTGATCTTCGATATCTTTGATGTATGCAGAGAAAACTCTTACTTTAAAATCAGCAGAACCAGCTACTAATAGCATATTATTTGGGTGCCAATCTAATGTAGTAACAGTTGAGCGAATGGGTTTTTTAATATGCTTGGAAACCCACCAGTTATTTTCTTTTTCAAAATAGCATATTGAAATAAGTCTTGCACCTGAGCCCACAGCAAACTTGTTTTCCATTGGAGACCATTTCACACAAGTAGCAGCACGGTTGATACGCAACAACACAAGAGTAGTTGTCCACTTGCCATCCTCACCTTGAGTCCAAACATATGCATTGCGGTCAACAGCGCATGTTACAATGCGGTTGGTATTTGGGGCCCAATCAATGCCCATAACTCTTAAATCATGCTCAACTAAATTATTAGTTTGTTTCCATTCACTTCCTTCTTTCTGATAAATATGAACTTCATTATTGTTAGGTGAGAAGGCAATTTCTGAAAATATGAAACCTTTTGTAAACATACATAGCATTAATGAAAGGCAAATTGATAGTAAATATTGAGAATAAGGAACTGTATCTTGTTATTTTATAGCAGTGGTGTATTGCATGTCTAGTAACGATATACTCACGGGTTCTATCCTTGTTCCAAGCATGACAAGTTATCGGAGCACATGAGTCACCAAACGATAGAGTTTGAGCCATGATTCGGCACTGCAATAGATAAAAAAACAGTTTTTTTTTTAAATTATGGAAGATAGTTTACTTAGTGATATTTCATTGTTTAACTAAGTAACTAAACCAAGTTAGTACCTTTAGGTTTCACAAAGTAAAAACTGTAGTCACGCCCGGCTTGATAAGCTCAACAAACAATCTGGTATATTCGCGGACTCTGGGCAGTCGACGCGAATTCTGAAAGCAATTTATTATTACAAACAAAACCTGTTATCTAAATAACAATTTATTAAAGCTGCAATATCACACTTAGTTATTAATATATTAAAATTAGATCAACAAACTACGAAATTCACCTGCTGCTATCAATCACTTCACCACAGACAACAGTTTTTTTTTGTTGAAGTTCTCCCGTTTTAAGGAAGGCAAAGGGAACAATGCCCATACAGCCTGATCATTAATTAATCTTCTTTTTGTTTTTATTTTTACATTAGAATGTCGGTGTGACGCATTCTAATGTTTCTTGGAGTGTTTGGCACGAAATGTATCGAGTTGGCTTTTTCGATAAGCTTCTGTGAGGTAGTCAACACTACAATAAAATTCTCACTTCCACTTGACCGGAATAGCGTATATTTTAACGATTCCACTAATTCTTCAGTTACGCAGACAGTTGTTACACAAAACCACACCAATTTTATTTCACAATATCCACTATGAACGAATTTAAGAGTAATTAAAATAAGACACCAACCACACTCGATAAAATCCCGCCAAAAAGTCAGACAACAGTAAGAAAGACTGAGTTGCCAACCATAGAAGCTTTTTCCTCGTACTAAAATCTCGTAATCTGGCTTTCGAATCTCGTATTGGACATTTGGACATTTGTTTTTTAAATTGTTTGCGAATCAATCCGCATCCGCATCACAAGTCGTGCAAAGCCAAGAACAAAATAGAAAAAACTTTCTATAACTACAATAAAACTTAGGTAGCATAACTTCTATGTAATAATTCTAACTTTCTATGTATAGATGACATACCACATACCACTAATGACTGGCCAATATGGCAAATTCCAAGGCCGTAAAAATTATCTATGTAATCTGTGGATCATATGGATAAAAAGAACCTAGTCTGTGAAAGAAACACAACAGTGCACAACAGATCAGTCAACAACATACAACATTTGAACTTCGGTATCGCTATCAATTATAAATTAATACAGAAAGAAAGAATGTCGGGCAGGGGTAAGTGAACCTTAAGATTTTTTCCCACTGATCACGCAACTGTTGATGTTAAAAATCATTATTATACATCATACTTGCAGGAAGATATCGCGGCCACCGTAACCGCAGAGAGCCCACTTTGTCCTCTGTTGCACGCGAAAATGCCCTCTCTTTACCTGCGGACAGCCCAGTTCTATCTATGTTTAAGTCTGCTGCAGTCCAGCTCAACAAACGACAAGACCGGCACGAGAGGCTGGTGAAACTCTCGCGGGACATAACGATTGAAAGCAAACGTATAATATTCCTGTTACACTCTGCAATAACGTACGTTCTTTATTCTATACTTAAATTTTACGTCATCCGATAAAGCTGTGTTTATTCTGAAGTTGATTTCCAGTAAAGAATCTGCAGAGAAGGCTGTATCTGAAGCAAACAATAGGCTGACGGCACTTATTCAAGGTCCTATTAAAAACATTGGCCTGGAGTTAGAAAATAGCCCTGCCTACTTGCACTCCAGGGCTGTTACAGCAGGATTTCAAGAATTCATTGAGGCAAGAACATTTTGTTCCTTGATGGAAAAGGGTGTCATAATAACTCATGATGAAGTGAAGAAGGAATTGGAATATTCAATGGAGAGCTCCGAAGATGCTGAAAATGAGAGAACCTTAGTAACAATGCTACCAATTGTTGATTATATGCTGGGATTAGCAGATCTTACTGGTGAACTCATGAGGAAAGCCATTAACAGCATTGCCAGTGGTGATAGCGAGGAATGCTTTCAATCTTGTCAAAATGTTAGAGATCTGTATACAGGCTTTATAGGTACATTATTATTTTTCCTTTCTTCTGCAAATGTAAAAAAAAATAATGCCTCCATCTGCTGTTTACATTGATATGCTTTATTCAATAACTAATTGATTTTTGGAGAAACATTGCTGTGGTTAAATATTAAGGGTGAAAACACTATTGTGTTTACCTCTGAAAGTGAGCAGCTAAGCCTACAATTACCACTCTTCTTTTTCAGGTTTATTTGGAATGGGTAAAGAGTTAGCCCGGAAAATAATAACAACACGAAGTAATGTTTCTAAAGTGGAATTGGCAGTGTATGCCCTGAAAGTCCGTGGAGGTGAAGCCCCTGCTACTCTATTACTTCAACCAGCAGCTCCAAACGAATTGGAGGAACCACTAAACTACTCTGACGACGAAGGTTATTTTTGATTATAAATAAATAAACACATTTGCTTGAAAAATAATATATGTACTTGATCTTACTTAAATAACAACAAAGAGGTCTTGAAACTTAATAATTATAAATAAACATTATTTCTCAACATTGTTTTGTGTTTAATTCCTCCATTTCTTGTCTGTATTTCTATTCCTGCTGAGGTTGCCATTCCGAATCTTCATCATCTGTTGCATAAGGGTCTTCTTCACCTATTGAATCTGAATCATCCCAATCATTTTGTCTGTTGATTGTCTTTCTGGTTCGCTTATTATTTAAAACAAGTGAAGTAATTTCACCATCATCATCTTCTGCATCATTATCACTCACTATATCTTTTAGTTGGTCTTTTTCTTTTGTTTCCTATAAACAATTTCTTGAATTCAGCATAAGCAACTAATAACATGTCCAATATTGAAAAAGTTCGACTAACATTAATGAAGTCGTTTCTCCTTCTTTCTCTTAAAATATAATAATTAAAGTTTCAAAATTCATAATCATAGTCTACACTATCTCCATCAGAATCCATCACTTCAAAATGGTCATCATAAAAATTTACAGTATTGGCGTTGATGTAAAATGTGTTGCCATGTCTTTGAACGACTTGCATACCTGTAGAGAAAGTATATTGATATATAAATGTTTTAGGAGAAGGGGTGACCTATTATTGTTGTTCTTGGTACAACAATATATAAATCATTAAACAGCTCATCAGTTACATTAAGTTTTGATGTTGGCATGTGTATTGATTTGATAGATTTTCCCTATTGCTGTTCTACTTTCTGTTTTTTTTTTGCTTCTAGACCAACAAAATACTAATAAGGAAGAGGTCTTTTTATTGGGATTCTCTCGTAAGTGCTTACATATTTTGAATAAGGTGTAGAATTTATGAAGTTAGGCCTTGTAGAGTTAGAAGCTTGGCTCTACATGAGATCTGATAACTTTTTACAGTGCGAATCATGGTCTTATCTTGGAAATACTTTACATGTCAATGTTTATGGTGGGATCTTATATATCTGGGTTATCATTGTGGTAAATGAACTGTGCCTCATGCCTGGGTGTGTTAAAATGCGATTCAACTAAGAATAGGACCGCCTGGGCGCCATATTTTGACGTCATAGCTGTCAATTCAAGCCAAATAGGTAGAGTGAGCAAAAGAATGTTGCTATTTAATAAAACTTATTTACTAAGATTAAGTGAGACAAAATGTCAAATTTTTTAATAAAATTAATTTACTAAGGTTTAGAAAGAACACAACCGATTTTCAATAGTATTTCTTTATTAAGACTGTGTAAAAAAAACATTAATCAGAATCTAGCTCTTCAATTTTGCTCATCTCTGCATTACTGCCGGTTAGAAGTTAGAAGTTATGAATAATCATGTAGGTCACATACGAACATGCATTCTTTATGTAAACGAAAGTTTTAAATCGAGTTTTTGAACGCAACATAAAGTGACAAGTGACGATTTAGGTTATCAACCATTCATAGCCAAAGCTGAATAAATGAAAAAAAAACAACTAATATTAATTATCAACATTTGTTATTGTTTGTTTAAAAATGATTGGTTTGTATTCTAGAATCAGCCGAGTGCTAAAAAAGTGTTCCGAATTTTTTTTTGCAAACCGTACTTTTCAAGCGACATTTGACAGATTGAGGTCATTGGCTTTCCTATTCTTATTTGAATCGCATTATATATACATATACGAGTAGAAGTACGAGTCGTATACCTGGGTTGTCGTTGGGCGGGCGCGCCCCCTGCGGATGGTCGTGGTCGCGCCAGTGTCGCTGGTCGCGTCGGCGGCATGCGGCGCCCCAGGGGCACTATATATATACGAGTCGTATACCTGGGTTGTCGTTGGGCGGGCGCGCCCCCTGCGGATGGTCGTGGTCGCGCCAGTGTCGCTGGTCGCGTCGGCGGCATGCGGCGCCCCAGGGGCACTATATATATACGAGTCGTATACCTGGGTTGTCGTTGGGCGGGCGAGCCCCCTGCGGATGGTCGTGGTCGCGCTAGTGTCGCTGGTCGCGTCGGCGGCAGGCGGCGCCCCAGGGGCACTATATATATATACGGGTCGTATACCTGGGTTGTCGTTGGGCGGGCGCGCCCCCTGCGGATGGTCGTGGTCGCGCCAGTGTCGCTGGTCGCGTCGGCTGCAGGCGGCGCCCCAGGCGCACTATATATATACGATTCGTATACCTGGGTTGTCGTTGGGCGGGCGCGCCCCCTGCGGATGGTCGTGGTCGCGCCAGTGTCGCTGGTCGCGTCGGCGGCAGGCGGCGCCCCAGGGGCACTATATATATACGAGTCGTATACCTGGGTTGTCGTTGGGCGGGCGCGCCCCCTGCGGATGGTCGTGGTCGCGCCAGTGTCGCTGGTCGCGTCGGCGGCAGGCGGCGCCCCAGGGGCACTATATATATATATGAGTCGTATACCTGGGTTGTCGTTGGGCGGGCGCGCCCCCTGCGGATGGTCGTGGTCGCGCCAGTGTCGCTGGTCGCGTCGGCGGCAGGCGGCGCCCCAGGGGCACTATATATATATATGAGTCGTATACCTGCGTTGTCGTTGGGCGGGCGCGCCCCCTGCGGATGGTCGTGGTCGCGCCAGTGTCGCTGGTCGCGTCGGCGGCAGGCGGCGCCCCAGGGGCACTATATATATATATATGAGTCGTATACCTGGGTTGTCGTTGGGCGGGCGCGCCCCCTGCGGATGGTCGTGGTCGCGCCAGTGTCGCTGGTCGCGTCGGCGGCAGGCGACGCCCCAGGGGCACTATATATATATATGAGTCGTATACCTGGGTTGTCGTTGGGCGGGCGCGCCCCCTGCGGATGGTCGTGGTCGCGCCAGTGTCGCTGGTCGCGTCGGCGGCAGGCGGCGCCCCAGGGGCACTATATATATATATGAGTCGTATACCTGGGTTGTCGTTGGGCGGGCGCGCCCCCTGCGGATGGTCGTGGTCGCGCCAGTGTCGCTGGTCGCGTCGGCGGCAGGCGGCGCCCCAGGGGCACTATATATATATATGAGTCGTATACCTGGGTTGTCGTTGGGCGGGCGCGCCCCCTGCGGATGGTCGTGGTCGCGCCAGTGTCGCTGGTCGCGTCGGCGGCAGGCGACGCCCCAGGGGCACTATATATATATATGAGTCGTATACCTGGGTTGTCGTTGGGCGGGCGCGCCCCCTGCGGATGGTCGTGGTCGCGCCAGTGTCGCTGGTCGCGTCGGCGGCAGGCGACGCCCCAGGGGCACTATATATATATATGAGTCGTATACCTGGGTTGTCGTTGGGCGGGCGCGCCCCCTGCGGATGGTCGTGGTCGCGCCAGTGTCGCTGGTCGCGTCGGCGGCAGGCGGCGCCCCAGGGGCACTATATATATATATATGAGTCGTATACCTGGGTTGTCGTTGGGCGGGCGCGCCCCCTGCGGATGGTCGTGGTCGCGCCAGTGTCGCTGGTCGCGTCGGCGGCAGGCGGCGCCCCAGGGGCACTATATATATATATGAGTCGTATACCTGGGTTGTCGTTGGGCGGGCGCGCTCCCTGCGGATGGTCGTGGTCGCGCCAGTGTCGCTGGTCGCGTCGGCGGCAGGCGGCGCCCCAGGGGCACTATATATATATATGAGTCGTATACCTGGGTTGTCGTTGGGCGGGCGCGCTCCCTGCGGATGGTCGTGGTCGCGCCAGTGTCGCTGGTCGCGTCGGCGGCAGGCGGCGCCCCAGGGGCACTATATATATATATGAGTCGTATACCTGGGTTGTCGTTGGGCGGGCGCGCCCCCTGCGGATGGTCGTGGTCGCGCCAGTGTCGCTGGTCGCGTCGGCGGCAGGCGGCGCCCCAGGGGCACTATATATATATATGAGTCGTATACCTGGGTTGTCGTTGGGCGGGCGCGCCCCCTGCGGATGGTCGTGGTCGCGCCAGTGTCGCTGGTCGCGTCGGCGGCAGGCGGCGCCCCAGGGGCACTATATATATATATGAGTCGTATACCTGGGTTGTCGTTGGGCGGGCGCGCCCCCTGCGGATGGTCGTGGTCGCGCCAGTGTCGCTGGTCGCGTCGGCGGCAGGCGGCGCCCCAGGGGCACTGTCCGCGCGCGCCCGCGCCCCAGTCCGCGTCACCGGGGTGGCTGAACTGGGCCTTGTGTTGAAGGTTACGTCTGCCCAACAACACCACATTATCACGGGCAATATTTAAAAGATCACTTAAAAATACAATTGATAACTTAAAGGTTAGGGTAGGTAGGTTACCAATTTTTGATGTGTAACATCTTTCCTCTCGCTTTTCTGCAATTTGTGGGAGTGAGTTCGTAAAATGGGACGGAAGTGTGTAACGGGAAGTCGCGAAAGCGCGCGCTATTTGATTTGGTTTTAGAACATAATGTTCAAATGGCTTATTCCTTTTGTAGTAGGTTTTATTTCTTTTTTTACTAATATAAGGTGAGGTTTCAAATGTTACACATCATACGCGACTACTGTAAGGCTCGCTCGTTATTTTTTTTACTGCGTTCGTGATTTCTTGCTTTTCCAAGCAAGGCGACATGCCGCGACTGCACAATGCATACACCATGCTTCAGTCACTCCAGTCGGCGCTGCGGTCGCCGCGTTCGGAATGAATTTTTTGGAGATTTAGAAACAAGTAGTGTCGCTGCAGTTTGCGGTCTCTGAATGGCACCTTTACTATTCTATCAATGGACATATAAATAATGTGCAATTATAAACTACACTGACTTACAGCCTTACGCCGAAACATCAAATTCATTTACAGCTCGATGACGCAGGTGGTTAGTGTAACCGGGCTGCGATTATGGAAGTTAAGCAACTTTCAAAATGGCTGGTCAGTGGATGGGTGACCAAAAAAATATGATATCGAGTTTCTCTTCGCTTCGTAAGGGTACGTTGAGTCGTTCGTCGCAGCTGCATCTGCAGTCGTTAGCATCCACTGATCTCACTAAGCCCGTGTGTGTACCTGTACCCCAGCAGTGGGTACATTTCAATCGGTC